TGAGGTATGACATTTCCTAAACCCAGACTTTGCATTCATGTGATAGAGAAACCTACCGTTCTCTTCTTTCAATGTATCTGTAAAAAATAGATAAAAATTAGGAAATATGTGATGATCATAAGGATTAATAATATTTAAAAGGAAATTTTTATCTTTCCAAACACGTTTAATCAACCATATATGAAACAGAGTAGCTGCGTTTAAAGGAAATGGTTTAACAAGTATTTCCCAGGGACTTAGATGAAATGAGATTTTAAAAACCTTGCTTCAAATGTTAGATTGCAGCAGAAATTTTGTTTATTTTGACAAAACTTTGAATAATTTGTACCAAAGATTATCCAAATGCCCCCTGGGTTCTGCTTTAGAAACCATTACATTGTAATAATCATTATCATCATGTTATCACAATTATTGTCACAGCTACCCTGTTTCCCCGAAAATAAGACAGTGTCTTATATTAATTTTGCTCCCAAAGATGCGCTAGGTCTTATTTTCAGGGGATGTCTTATTTTTCCATATGGTACACATTTATTGTTTATTGTTTTATGAAAAGAGACCTCGCACTTCCTGTCTGCTCCGGCTGCGCTGCAGCCAACAGTGAGCTGTGCAGTGGTGGCCACCACTACGGATCAGAGTCCAGAGTTACGGTAGCTTCGAGGGGCTTTGTTTTCAGGGAGGTCTTATTTTCGGGGGGATGCCTTATATGTCAGCGAGAGACAAAACTGTAAGTAGGTCTTATTTTGGGGGGATGTCTTACTTTCGGGGAAATGGGGTACCAATACCATAAAAGAACCAGTGACTTTTGTCTATTGTTTTTTCTTAGGACAGAACGTCCACTACAGGAAAGTGAGTGGTCAAAGGCTCCAGATTCAAGTTCTACTTCCTCTGTTTTTGTTGTTGCACGGTGCCTTCAAGTCAGCTGTAAACCATAGTGACCCTGTGCAAGACAGAATGAGCCATTACCCAATCCTGAGCCAGCCGCACAGTGGTTCTCGTTCTTGAACCCGTTGGGGCAGCCACCGTGTCAACTCATCTCCCTGAGGGCCTTGCACTTTTTCATTGATTCTCTACTTTATCCAGCATGATGGCCTTCTCCAGGAACTGGTCTCTCCGGACAATATGTCCACCAAGACAAAGCCTTGCCATTCCTGCCTCTCAGGAACACTCTGACTATATTTCTTCCAAGACATTGCTTTGTCCTTTTATCAGTTCGTGGTACTTTCAATATTCTTCTCAAGCACCACACTTCAAACACATCTATTCTCATTCAAAATGCAATTTTTACATGCATATGAGCAATGGAAATGGGGCACCTTAGTCCTCATACTACGACCCTTGGTTTTCAACACTCCAAAGAGGGCTTGTGCAGTAGATTTACTGAATGTAGTCAATTCATTGAACTCTTGACTGGTGCTTCCATGAGCATTGACTGTGGATCCAAGCAAGTAAAGTCCTTGAAAACGTCAACCTTTTTGCCATTTATCATAATGCTACCTATTGTCCACTTGTGAGGATTTTGATCCTCTTTGCATTGAGTCGTGTTATTGAAATCTGCAATCCTTGATCTTCCTCAGCATCTGTTTCAAGTCCTCCTCATTTTCAGCCAGCGAGATTGTGTCATCTGCATGTCAAGGGTCCTAAATAAGCATTTCTCTCTTTTTTTTTTAAATCATAGGAAACTTTAATGAATGCTATTGACTGAACTATGCCATGTAACATTTTTTGTACTATTAAAGTTATTGTTATATATTCTTTTCATTACCAAACCATCCAATGACAATGGATCTTGTCGAGAAGAACTTTAAGAAAATACAGTGAGGATTTTTTACAGTATGGTTTTACCTCAATCATTACAGCGGGAATTGAGAAACCACAATGTGCTGTTTGTTGTGAAGTTTTATCAGCCAAATCTATGAAGGCTAACAAACTAAAATGCCAATTTGATAGCAAGAATTGAGCTTTGCTCGCAAGGATTTTACAAGCAAAGCTGATGAACTCAAAAAAGCCAGACTTGGCACTGGTGGCAAGTACCACATACAAAATGCAGCAGCCATTGAAGCTTATTTGGTGACACTCAGAAATGCCAGAGCTATGAAACCTCACACCATTGCTGAGTATTTGCTATTGCCAGTGGGCAGACATTGATGGAGTTATGATCGGAGATGAATTTGTTACAAAATTGAGTGCAACGACACTGTCCACAGAATAGATGGCATGTCTGCTGATATTCTTGATCAGGTCATCCAGGAAATTAAATCTGCTCCACTTCCAATATGTAGCATTTCTCCCATCATGATGCTTCATTTCTCTTCATGTAACCCTGCTTCTCTGATAATTTGCTCAGCATGCAGATTGAATAAGTATGGTGAGAGGATACAACCCCTAAACACATCTTTCCTGATTTTAAACCATGCAGTATTCTCTTGTTCTGTTTGCACAACTGCCTCTGATACCTGTACCAATTCCTCATGAATGCAATGAAGTGTTTTGGAATTTCCACTCCTCTCAAGGCTATCCCGATTTTGTTATGATCCACACAGTCAACTACTTTGGCATGGTCAATAACACACAAGTAAACGGACCAAAGGTGTCCATAGTCTGACCCAATCTCACATAATGCTCAGCTTCCAATCATTAGACTTTCAGTATCTGACAATGTTTTGAAGGTATAAGGTTTGCAGAGACTCTTTCTGAAGTGGGTAGCTGAGTCCTTCTTCATTAGCTGTCCTTAGTCTGGATGCTCCATTCAAATCTGTTCACTTTGGGTGACCTTGGGACATTTGAAATACCAGGGACATAGCTTCCAGCATCACAGCAACTCACAAGCCACCACACTATGACAAATTGGCAGACAAGTGATGGGTACTTCCTCTAGACGGGGATTTTGGTTTCTGAATGGTGGCATAGGTTGAAATCTCACTTCTGGAACTCTGATTTTTTTTTTTTTTTTTGAGCACTGGTGGCATAGTGGTTGCGCATTGGGCTGCTAACCACAAGGTCAGCAGTTCCAAGCCACCAGCCACTTCTCAGGGAAAAAATGAGGTCTTCTACCCCAGAAGAGTTACAGTCTTGAAAAACCACAGGGTCAGTTCTACCTCCTCCTCTGTGATTTCTTGGAGTCAGAATTGACTCAACTGTAGTGAGAGGAGTTGGTTTGAAATAGAAAGCAAGTACACAAAAGTGTTTCCCCAAGCTCTTGTAGTCCACCACATATATAAATGAATAGCTGCTTCAATGGCAAAACTCTCAGATTTACTGTGAAGGTATTTCACTGAAATGTCAATGGAAACACCAAGACTTTATTTCAAATAGTAGTCCAAAATTAATTTTAAATTTAATTTGACAATAACTTCTAATTATTTGTTCATAAAGTTATCTAAAACTTTTCCCTTAATTCCTCTTTATTTATAAGTACATTGTTCCCATTACCATCATCATCATTATCCATATATCATCAAAATTGTCATTATAGATACCAACACCTTTAAAAATGCTCATACTTTTTACATACTTTATCTTAGTATGGGATTCAGCACTGGTTACAATACAGGCATGTGTTATTGTTTCAGCGTAATACTGTGGTCCCTGCTTCTCAAGCCCTGTTTTTATTTTAAAATTGTTATTAGTGTTGTACTTTTGTTAAATGTATTACAATAAGAAATTGATATTTTCCCCTAGAGCAACAGATATATAGTCATTGAAAAATAAATGTAAGGTAATAATAAAACTAAAAAAAAATGGGCTGAGCTAAATTTTTATGGCTCAGAAATAATGCTCAGATCCTGAGAGCTACGTCCTCAAATCACTGAGGACCACTGTCATGATAGTGCATGATCTGCGTATGGAGGAAAGTGACGCTCACATTTCTCCAATTTCATCTTCTTGGAAGAAAATGCACAGAGAAAGTTCTTTTAAAATCGATTAAGCTAGAGTACATTAGACTTAGGAAACGTAGTCATCTTACAAAGATAGATATTCAACAACACTATTATTATAAGGAAAAACAAACAAAATGAAATGAGGGTTCCACACCCAAAGGTAAGGCTTTGATGACTATGAGGAGACCAAGGACTGCGAAGGGACAAAGAGAAAGGTGAGATGGGATATTGAGGGTGGGGGAGTAAGGGAGGCAGAGAGAAAAAGACCCACGTTTGGGGGATTTAACGGGATACTCTTGCAGATTTCATTTGTTGAGATGGGCTATGTAACTATACACAGTGTGCATCTTTAGGAACAAAAACAAAAAAGTAGAGGGAAGGCTATGTATATAAATTCTTTGGAAAAAAGAAAAAAGCCAAAGTTTTAGCAGCAAGTTTAAAGTTCAGTTATGGTATGTCACTGAGAATGAAGTTATTGAGCTTCTTTTTTTTTAATTTTTTATACTAAGATAATTTTGTTTTATTTTATTTTTTATTTTTTAACATTTTATTAGGGGCTCATACAACTGTTATCGCAATCCATACACACATCAATTGTGTAAAGCGCATTTGTACATCGTTTCTCAAAACATTTTCTCTCCATTTAAACCCCCGACATTAGGTCCTCATTTTTCTCCTCCCTCCCCGCTCCCGCCTCCCTCATGAGCCCTTGATAGTTTATAAATGGGTATTTTGTTATTGAGCTTCTTCTGAGCACATGCAATAATGACTTCACTCAGTTCGTCAATCATATGTAAAAGAGGCCTTCATATATAAACAAATTTTTCTTCATCTTGGGTATTAAAAATCATATAAACAATTTGCAGCAAACTGCTACAAGTATATAAAAGTAGATGAAAGTATATCTTAAAAGAATGAACAGAAATCCAAGAAAATTCATTCACACAGTTTGAAACAAACCCATTATCTGGCGCTCATATATGAAAAATGGTCATTAGGGCAGTGAACTGGATGTTAAATTATTTGACCCCGCACTGGTCTAAAGCCAATTGCTTTGCTCTCAATGAGAATGTGTGATATTTCTTAAACAAGACTTTGTATTAATGGAAGATGTAAACATACCTTTTTCTTCTTTCATTTTCTCTGAAAAACAAATTAAATTAAATGTATTAATGATCTGAGGCTCAGAGGGTTTAATTACATGATGAAGTAACTACTATTAGCAAGGGGAAAAAATCGGTGATGGAAAGGCAAATGTATCAAATTACACAATGATGACTCTTAATCACGAAACCCAGTGGATGATTCCACCATTGGTGTGGAATGCTAAGACTACAGCAAGGCAGAGCTTATAGGCATCCCTTTCAAGCGACTGTAAACTGTGTATATTTTCAGTGTCTAAATACAGCCTCAAAAGCTCTATTTAGTACATCGTCACATCACAGTTTTCCTCCTCTCAGACTGGATCGAGGAAGCTATTGTTATTAACATCAGAAGGTAAGGTGAAGAAATAATGCTTTAGAGAGAGACTATGGAAGAATGAGAAAATCCATGAGCTGAAAAGAGGAACGAGAAAAAAGCAAGAGTAGAGAAATGGGTGTAGAACATTATAATGTAAAGAAAAAGAATGAAAATCACAAAAGATTAAACTTACATAAATGTTAAAGGAAAAAAGGCAGTAAAAAGGAAGAGAAAGGTTGAAAAATAATACTCTTGTGATCATATCTAGTCAATAGATTAATTATCATTAAAGTTTGCCATTTACTTCCTAAAGATCTGAAAAAGGAAGAGGCAGTAGGAGTCAATTTTTAACAGCAAGCAAGCAAACAAATGTAACTTACAAAATTATTTTAACCAGGCAGATAAGTTAAAGAATACCTGTTTCAAAGTCAAAGCCTTAAGATTTATTGTCAAAATATTTCATTAAACTAATAATGGGATAAAAAATATTTTCCCCAAAATGTCACTATCAGATAGTCCCCCAGATAGGCCCCCCCACCCCCCATGGAATATATACAAATCCACTGACAAGAGAAAAGCAAAGTGCTCATAAAGTTAAAGGGCTTTGATGAGCCAAAAACATTACTGGGCAGAAAGAATGCCCGGATGCTGGGCGCTCAGCCCTGCATTCACAGAGGAAGTGTCATTTGAGCACATTATCCGTATATGGGGGAAAGTAACTCTCACCTGTCTCCAAGTTCATTTGCTCTGGGGAAAAAGAAACGGAGAGAAAATTCTGTTAGAAATGGATGAAATCATTTTCAAATGAATTAACAAAAATTCATGCAAATTCATTCACTCAGTTTAACACTTTCTACCAACTGACAATCCAGTCCCATTATGTGAAGATACTCTATATATCAAGGTCTGACACTTCTTCAACACATACTTACCATTAATGGAAGATATCAACCTACCTATTTTTTCTTTCAATTTATCTGGGGGAAAAAGTAGATAGAATTTATGAAGGATCGTAAGAGCACAGTATTCAATAACATGAAGTGGCTACTCTTAGAAGTGACAAAATCAGAGCATAAAAGGAAACCTGTTGGATTGCAAGTGGAACACCATACACAGTGGATGCTCATGATTGGCTCTCGGGAGCTAGGACGCAGCTCACAAGGCAGAGAATCCAGGCATCATCTCAAAAGACTGTCCACTGCATTTTTAAAGGTCTGCACAAAGCCTTCGTGCACAGAGGCGTTGGCCACAGTCGGCACCAGAAGAGCTTTGAACTATGTTCTCTCACATCAGGATCTTCCTAATTTCAATGGAAGCTCTTTGGGCTACCTGCCATCTAATGCTCATTGTTTGGCTTCCTTCCATGGAGATTATGCATTAATGGAAGATATACCTCTACTTATTTCCCTTTCAATCTCTCTGAAACACAAATGAGAGAAAATTTAGGGAAAATTACCGAGGATCAAGGCTTTTATTAACATGATGAAGCACCTAATTATGGTATGTGGCATAATCAATGCCTGAGAGAGAGAGAGCTGAAACTGCAAACTGAATACTGAGAAACACAAGGGACACTAGATACTCCACTGTGGATCCGAGTTACTGAGACCCTCCTCACAAATTAAAAGATGATAAGCCTCCTTTGTAGAGACCATCTACTGCATGCTTTAAGCAGTCCATTTCCTTGACCTAGCTTTCTTACAATGAGAAAGATGTTGGGCCTAATAGACATTTCAAGAGTCCGACCTTGAAATTCTCACACCAGAATTTTCTTCCTATCTGACCGAAGAAGACAAGTTCCTTTCGTTGCATCATGTGGAAGGATGAAGAAAGAATGTTATTGAAATGATAATGGAACAATGGGAAAATCGGTACACTGGAGACAAACTAACAAAGAGTAGAGAATTGCGCACAAAGCATATCACTGTAATAAGGATCAATGTAAAGTACACAAGAGAAAGGCTCACATTTTTTTAGAAGAGTAAGGTAGAGAAAATAGCAATGAAGCAATAAAATCATAAGAAATCATATCCTGTCTATATGAATTATAGGAATGTTTACCATTTTCTTCCCGAAGACCTGAAAAATAAGAGCAATTGTAATCAATTTTGAAACAGCGAGAACAAAATGAAACAATCTACCTACCCTCTTTAATGCACCACATATGCAATAGAATAGGTGCATCGAAGGCAAAATCCCATGACTTCTTGTCAAATTGTTACACTCAACTAATGCCTGAATCATTAAGGCTTTAATTTAATTCAAGTAATATATATAAAGAAATTTTTAAAATGATTTTTGCATAAACTTCTTATTTGCACCTAAATTTACCCAAAAACTCTCCCCTGGAACACTCTTTACAAAAAATTACATTGTTTTCCTGCTCATCATCATCACCACTACTATCCATGTATTATTGCAATGATCGTCATAGATGTAAACACAATCACAAATGCCACTGTCATTGTAAAAAATTTTTTTCTTGGCATTGGGCTCAGGACTGCAGGCATGACAGGTTTCAACAACTGTCATAACTCAATAGTGTGGTGTTTGATGCGCATATTCTGTTGCTTTAACATTCACAACTGCCTTTGTATTTTTTTCTCAAATATGTCACTAGAAGTAATTAATGCAAAATCTTCCAAAGAAGGAAAGGCAAATCCATTTAAAAAGATGAAAAGTAAAGTCCTTCAAACATTTAAAATATTGCTGAGCTAAATTACGAAGTTCCAACAAATGCCCGTATGCTGAGAGCTCAAACCATCTAGGACAGCTGTCATTACAGAGCGTTGTCTGCAAAGAGCAGAAAGGAAATTTCACCTTTATCTGCCTTCTGTTTGGCTGTCAAAAGCAAAGAGGGAAATATTTAAAAATAGGTAGAAGCGGGAATTATAGCCAAAACGTGCACTCAAGTTTAAAGCCCTTTCTGCTACCTGACAGCTAGAGGCACTATTTTGTTTTGGCGTCTTAAAAACACATATGTGGTAATAACGCAAGATTTGACCAACATCTGTCTTTTCTTATTCATATGTCTTATTATATTTCTGAAAAATATATTAGACAAAACAAAGGAAAACTATGCACATCAGCACCTTCTGTGGCATGATGAAGTGTGTGTAATCGATAAGTGGACAAGTCAGTGGCTGAGAGAGAAATCTGGTCAACTACAATGTGAAGACTGAAACCTTATGCAGAGTGGAAAACTCCCCAGATGACCTAGACTGCTAGGACTGTGATCATAAGGCCGAATGCTAGGAAACATTTTCAAGAGAGGGTCCACTGAATATGTTATGCCAAATGTTTCCCGGACATAGCCTTCTTACAGGGAGATAATGGGCAGAGCAGACACCGAAACAAGCTAGCTAATATATTAACACGTGACAATTTTCCTCATCTCAGACAGAATGACTGGAATGGAAATTAGTAACGCAGTGATGCAAAGGAAGAACAAAGACCTGAGAGATGCCCATGGACCATTGCAATGTAATAAAAAAGAATGACAAGCACAGAAGAGAGAAGCTCATCCAATTTGTCGGAGAAAGAGAAAGGCTTGTGAAGACAGAGAGGAAAAGGGAAAGAAAGAAAGAAAGAAAGAGAGAGAGAGAGAAAGAAAGAAAGAGAGAAAGGAAGAAAGAGAAAACAACCCTCAAAATCTTGTGCAGACTTTATCTTATCAATAATTAAATGTAATTAAAATTTACCGCTTTCTTCCTGATGATCTGAAAAATAAACAGGCAATAACAGTCCATTTATTTTCCATAACAAGCAAAGAGCAATGTGTTCCCAAGTCTTTCATTTCACCACAGATGGAGAAGAATAGGTGCTTCAATGACAACCTGAAGATCAATTGTCAAAGTAATTCAGAAAAAAAACCATAGGCTGAAGAAGACGACTTTGTTTTTCAAATAGTCTATCAAAAATTTACTTGGACACTAACTTCTCATTACTCATGTTTAAAATTATTTAAAACCTTCCCCTTGATTCCCTTGTGGAGACACACTGTTCTAATCATCATCACCATCATCATCATCCATAAGTCGTCATCACGGATAGGAACATCCTTACAAATGCCATTGACTTTGACATAGTTTTAGAACGTTGGTCACAGCACTCAACAGCACATGTTGCTGGTACTGCATAGCACTGTGGTCCTTGCTTCTCCAGCTGTGCTTTCTCTTTTCTTTCTCTTGTCGCTTTTTACAAATAGACCACTATTAGAAATTCCCTTTTCCTCCCAGCAAAAGACACAAAGCCATGGAAAAGAAAAGTGCAAGTTTCGAATAAATCTGAGGACTTTGGATGCGTTAAAACATTACTGGGCAGATGGAATGCCCGGATGGTGAGAGCTCAGCCCTGCATTCACAGAGGACGTGTCATTCGAGCACATTATCCGTATATGGGGGAAAGTAACTCTCACCTGTATCCAAGTTCATTTGCTCTGGGGAAAAAGAAACAGAGAAAATTCTGTTAAAATGGATAAAATAATTTTCAAATGAATTAACAGACATTCATGCAAATTCATTCATCCAGTTTAACACTTTCTACCAACTGACATCCAAGCCTACATGTCAAGATGCTCTCTCTATATATCAAGATCAGACATTTCTTCAACACATACATAGCACTAATGGAAGATAGTGGAACCTACCTATTTTTTCTTTCAATTTATCTGGGGAAAAAAGTAGATAGAATTTATGAAGGATCGTAAGAGCACAGTATTCAATAACATGAAGTGGCTACTCTTAGAAGTGACAAACTCAGAGCATAAAAGGAAACCTGTCGGATTGCAAGAGGAACACCATACACAGGGGATGCTCATGATTGGCTCCCGGGAGCTAGGACGCAGCTCACAAGGCAGAGAATCCAGGCATCATCTCAAAAGACTGTCTACTGCATTTTTAAAGGTCTGCACAAAGCCCTCTTGCACAGAGGTGTTGGCCACAGTTGGCACCACAAGAGCTTTGACAAATGTTCTCTCACATCAGGATCTGCCTAATTTCAATGGAAACCCTTTGCGCTACCTGCCATCTAATGCTCATTGTTTGGCTTCCTTCCATGGAGATTATGCATTAATGGAAGATATGCCTCTACTTATTTCCCTTTCAAACTCTCTGAAACACAAATGAGACAAAATTAAGGGAAAATGACCAAGGATCATGGTTTTTATTAACATGATGAAGCACCTAATTATGGTATGTGGCATAATCAATGCCTGAGAGAGAGAGAGCTGAAACTGCAAACTGAATACTGAGAAAC